TGTATAAAATAACATTGTTAGTTTCTAAATAGAAAAAAAATGTTATAGGTAAATTAGAAAAAAAAAACAATATTAGAGTTTAAGAGTTAATAAGAATAAAATAATAATAATAATTAGTAACAGTCATTATACATGAAAATATTACCTTAAAAGTTTAAAAATAGATATATTAAATGTAAAATAACTGATGCAAGACACAAGTATCTTAACTTGTTTTATTTTATGACATTCGTGTTTAGTTCATTTGCATTTGCATTTCATAATATTATTGGTTTCATCGTGCAATAAAATATGCAGCAATTTTTTGCAGAAAAAGAATCAAACTTAATTCTATTTAATTCCTGTCTTTTCTTCTTCTTTTATCAGTAAAATGATCCTGATGTGTAAATACACATAGCACTAAAGCACGAACAATTCAATGGCATGGCCTATTAGCTCAGTTGGTTAGAGCGTCGTGCTAATAACGCGAAGGTCGCAGGTTCGAGACCTGCATGGGCCATTTTTTTATTCTTTTTTTTTTTAATATCTTTTCGAACCCCCTTGGTTTTGATGTTAATAAGTTAGCTGCTACTCCTTGAGATTACTTCAAATTTTGTAATCAAATATGTGAATGCAAAGTGTTATTAAGACCACACTCAAGGCTTCTAATGCTCAAATTTGAAACCAAAGTTCAGATCAGGTCAGCACTGTGCTTATGTGCCTTTGTCTCTTCCTTAGAATTGTTTAGCAGTACTTTAAGATGATGCACGTAATCAACACCATTGCTATAATAATACGTATGTATATAATAACTGTTAGTCTTAATTTCTACTTAATTTAGTGGTAAGTTTCTTATATTTTATGGGCTGAATGGTGTTAAAATGCAGGTAAAAGTGGGTCAAAATTAATGAAGTAAGCCCAAGTTGGTAAAAAGGGATAAAAAAAAGAGATTTTGACTTTTCACTAATATGTTTTACATTATAATGCAGAAAAAGACACATGGCTGATAAAGAAAAAAGATGAGATGAGATGGTAAAGTGAGACTTGTTGGATACTCTTTTGATCTGACGGCCAGCAAACATTTGAAGATGTGGCTTAAACACAAGTCTCTGTTTTGTAATAAAAAAGGAGTTGAACTCAGATTTTAAAAAGGAGATTTTTCGTTGAATAGAGAACTCAATTTTAGTTCTATTCAGTTTTCATATTTTGAGCCCTTAGCTTTTAGAGTTTCTTGGAGACGATACACAAGGAAGAACACCACTCTTGAAGGGATTCAAGAAGGCAAACTTGCAGCGCAACTCGTGGTTTTACTTTTCTATTCTTAAGCTTTTCATAGTTTTACATTTTGAATTTGTGAAGAACCTATTGGTCTGTACCTTCAACTCTTTACTATTTCTTTTCTCTGTGAATGAAAACTATGCTTACTGTTATCTCAGATTTCATTTTTGCTTTACCTTTCAACATGCATTGTTAACTCAAATTTTTAGAATTCTGATGAAGATGACAAGTACCCATTAATTGATTCAAACTGCTGTACATGTTCTTGATGTTTGATTAGTGAATTTTTCTTGGTTTAAGTTCCATGGGAATGGGCTTAAAGATTCTTGCATGAACTTGTATTGGAAAATTTGAGTTTATGCATTTCATTAATTCAAGTTTTCAAGATTAGGAATAATCTAGGAAAGAATTTGATTACAAGTCATCAATAAAATGATTCAAGATTAATGGATTAATTTGAATCATTTTAGAACTGAATTTGGAAAAGTCTAGTGAGGTTCTACAAAAGTCAGATTCCATTAAGATAGGTGCTACAGCAGTTAAAACGCAGACATGCATTTTTTTAAGGAAAAGTCATTGAAATCAGAATTCTAGAGTTTTAATTTTCAGTTTTACTCATTTAAACGTGTTCTTATTATTCTTACTTTAGTTTGCATTTTAGAAAATACAATTTCCATTGAAAAAGCCATTACATTCACATTCAAGAAAATAAGAAAGAATAACAAAAAAAAATTGAATTTTCCGTTCCCAGTGAACGATACTTGAATTCTTTTTTAATTCTATACTTTTTACAAATATACAAACAACAATAACATTTTCCATATTGGCGAGATATATATGTTGCACCGACGCCACGTCACGCTGACACGTTAATTTTAAAGTTTTGACATGTTTTAATATTAAATAATACTTTTAATATATATAATATAGTTTATATTTAATACATATAGCAGCCCATAATAAATCATATAACCAATCAAATATTCAAATTTCATAACATAAATTTAAAATAAAAATAATTATCCATACCTTATTAATTTTTCATATCAAATTTCATAACAGAAAATATTTGATTTATGAATTAATTTTTTATGTTTAGTTAAAACATAAAATAAAATAAAATTTGGATTAAAAAAAAAAGTGTCGAAAAATATTGACCGCGTGTCAGAAAACATTGACTGCATGTCGAAACGTGTCGTTGTCGAACATCATTTTTCTTCCAAATTGATATGTCCGTGTTTCTTAGGTAGTGTTTGTTTCAGGAGTTTTGTAGATATTCCTAGGGAAGTGATTGTGACTTTATCATTTTTCCATGTTTGGTTCATGGTATCATGATTTTTGCCCATCAATATCAGATGCATAGCTATCTCAAATTGCACGTAAGAAAGGAAGAAAAGAACTGTTCAAGAATCCATCAAATCAGGTGGAATTGTATCTAAAAATCGGATAAATGAACACGGTACAAAACAGTGACAATACTACCCCTTAATGCAGTGGGGCAATTGGTTGTATAATTTTGTAAAAGGATAATTTTGTAATTTCAATAAGTTTTCCCATCAATATTTTATATTCAACCAAACACACATTCAGGAGTTTTACTCAATTTTCCTGGTAAAATTTTTCCCCACCAAACAACTTATTTAAAATTTTCCTATCTAACTCACTTTTCCTGCAGATCCCTAGTATTTACATTTCCCTAGTATTACAAAATTTCTCCTCAACCAAACACTACCTTAGGATATAACAATGCTGTTGGATTTCTGATACAAAAAATAGAGACCTACAATAGAAGATGCTTTATGCATGCATGACATTTTTTATTTAGATGAATCAAGTCCTTCCATGCTCTTCTCTTTCCACTAATTATATAATTTTGAGTATAATGAGAAATGATACAAGAGAACAAACTTTGCATTTAAAGTCTCTTTCTCCTTCTTAAAGTGAGATCCAAGGTGGAAAATAAGAGTATTGCCTCAAAACTTTCAGGGTAGGCAAGTTTTCAGTAATAGAGGGAAAACAATTCTCAGAAAAGAAGCAAGAAGAACATTGGAAGCTTCAAATTCCTCAGCTTTTCAAGATTATGAATCTCTTCAAAGTTAAAATCCTATAGGAATTCTCTGCATCAAAATTTGAAATTTGTGGCAATAAAAAATGGGAAAGGATATACTTATCACCAAAAAAGTTTACAACCAACCTAATCACCGTTGATTTCCGTCAATCTAACGATTATTATTTATTAGAAATTATTGAGTCGCATTTATTAATTAATTATTAATTCTAATAAATGATAACCGTTATATTGACGAAAATCAACGGAGATTAAATTGGTTGTAAAGATAGTAAACTTTTTTAGTTGTAAGTATATCCTGCCCCATAAAAAATATAATTTCTTATTTTGTTTTACAAAGGTCCAAATGTTTTGACCTTGAATGACCAATTTCATTTTGATTCTTTATCTCATATATTCTGATAGGATATTACATTACTTTATTAAAAAGAGGTACTGCAAATCAAATGATAGCAGTTTAGTTGGCGCATGAGAACTAAATAGGTGGAGGTGAAAGTATGTGTTCGATCCTCTCCAGTGCCATCTTTGGAAGGAATTTAAAGCCTTAATCCTGAACCCTCCCCGAATAAGATTGTCTTCCATCAAGGATACATGTGGTTTATCCAAAAAAAAAAAAAAAAAAAAGGTGCTGCGATCTTGTTCTTCTACTACTGCCATTGTTTAACTTAAGACTTAAGAAGAACTAAGATGAGAAAATAAGACTTGAAAGTGGAAGGGAAATGAGGAAAAGCGTGTTTTGCAACCAAGTGTTATTTTTCCCATTAGCATACCATCACCATGGAAAAGTCTCGCAAACAGCATTCAAGTCAAAATATGGAAATAGACAATTTCAAGTTACCGGAAGGGAATTAAGGTGGAGAAAAGAGAGACACGGATTTTCAGTTTTCTTATGAATTCCATCTAGGGAATTCATCAACCATAAGGAACGTTTAAAGAAGCTGCCATGAAAAACAGAAATAGTAAAGATCAGGGAATGCATATAAAAAGTTTGGGAACGAATCATCAGAAGACTATAAACAACAGCAATGTTTTTAAGTCATAAAAGGTGAGCACTAAATCATAATTCAAAGATGATATATGTTTGGATTTCCAGTAGAAAGTGCTACAGCTACATCTTACTTCTAGGTAAATATAAGTTTGTCCTCCAACAGAAACACACACTGCCCTGTAGGTTATGTAATATGTTTAAACCTTTTTGGATGAAAATCAACAAACCATTCTTTGTTCTGATAATATTTCTTCAAGGGAGATGAGAATAATCAAATCATTGTGGTATAATCTATAACAGAATTGCAAAAATGTAGATATTATTTTGGGTTATATCGTTGCCATTTAAATTAATGTTAAACTCATTGTCTGCCAAAGTGTCAGAATAGGATATTTGAATTCTTCTTTAACAATTGAAAGATATTAATTAACTAAAGCAAGGGCACATATCATGTGGACAATGAAACCAGGTCTATGTATCTGACCAACAATAGTCCAAAAGAAATTAGATATAGGTAAGGATTTCTACAAGACAATACATGCTATATTACCATTTCTAGATCAACTTTTCTTATAGAACAAATTACTGCTCAATGAAATCATCACCTAAGCCATAAGCTGAGATTTCAAACATATGAAGTAAAATTGGCTACAGAAAACCAATATAAGATAATCAAAATTACTAGGGTAAAATTATTACAACTCTGAAAGAGATTATAGAATGTTCACATAAAAGTTTAAACAGTTGTGATCCATATGGTTCAACAATTATATGAGAAAAAATTATAAGATCAATTCTGTAACAGAATCAAAGAAAATCTAAATTATTAAATTTAACTTTAAAAGATGACTGCATTTAGATATATGCCATCTGCCAAACATAGGAATCTCCATTTCCTCCAACAGTGAACAAGTTGAACTCTTCCAAATCCCTGCCTATCTATATAAACTCTTGTCCTTCAAGAGAAAGCATTTTATGCTATGAAACATATTCATTATACCTAACCTATTGAATTCTATAGTATACATAACCTATGAAACAGTTCACTAGATAATAGCTCATAGCTATGAACATGTAGCTAGACCATCTTGTGGTATCAAACTCCCTTCTTGATCCAATGTTTCCTTAACTGCCCGGTAAAAAGTTATCCATGAAGAAGAGTAAGCATCCACAGGTCCCCACAAGAATGTAGGATTTGGACTTGCAGGGCATGCAGTAACCAAATCCAAAACTGAAACTGGTTTGATATTCTGTGGAAAATTGAATGCCAAGTTATCAACTTTGTGTTCATAAATTTTTCCACTTCTGTCCAATTTATACCTTGAGGTACCCTGAAATTCTCCTTTAGTCTCCCAAGGAACTCTTGGCACACCCCTAAGATTCCACCTAATCAATATCACATTCTCTGAAGGTTGCCACACCCTATATACATCAAATTCAATCTCACGAAACAAGATTTTCCCATGAAACCTCAATGCCCAGAAAATCAATTTGTACTTTTCAATCCCAGTGAATGTGTTCAAGGGGTCCATGAATGTTATATCATCCCTGAAATGATCAAATTCCAATGAAAAGCTCTTAACTTTTTCACAAAAAGTGAAAAATGTAAACACCCCAAAGAAGAGAATTTGAAGACATGATTACATGGGGTGAGAAAGTAACCTGTAAATTTCATAATTGAGGTCTTTGCTGAAGATTAAAGGTAGGTCCTCGCGAAGGGTCCTCACAGCAAGGCCAAGGTTGACATAGAATTCATCTTTTGGGTGCTGGTGTTGCTGCTTATCTTTAGCAATTGGTGGTGTGTTGACCTGTGCAACTTGTGCAGTGGAAGTTTGGAGGGTTGAAGAGATAGGAAACTGAGAAGTGGGTTTTGGTTGTGAAAGAGTTTGGTTAAGGGGTTTATCTTTGGATTTGGATTGAGCTAGGAGAGAAGGTTGGAGATTGGGGATAAGAAAAGCCATAGCCTTTAATGCTCAATGCTTTTCAAAGATATTAGTTTTTCATTTGAAAGAGAGATGAGAGATGAGAGAGAAGATTTGTTTTGCTTCTTGTGTTTTGTGTTTGTGCTGAGGCAAATTGAGGCTGTTGTTAACTTTGTTTTTGATGTATGAGTGGCTTTGAATATGGCCATGAAATTGGGATGACTAAAAACAAACATGACCCATTTTTGCTAATTGCCCCTTGCATTTTATGTTATTTTCCCTTCCAATTGCAGAATGAAAATTTTGAGGAGAAAGCGCAAAATAGAAGTAGAAAAATTACATTCCTTCAAATACACTCTCTTGATTGAGTTTAGGGTTGGTCCAGTGATAAGCGAGTTGAGTAGTTTATATTAGATTATGGGTCCAATTTTTATTAATGTATCCAAAAAAAAGAAAAAAAAATGTCTTGATTGAGTTTGGCATCCCTTAATTTGAGAGCGGAAAATTTTTTTGGTGAATTTTTTATATAAATAAAGAGAAAAATATTTCTGCACTTACTGCAGATAAGTTATCTGTATTTATTTTCAAAACGACGACGTTTTGGGATTGAAATATTAAGAAATTATAATTATAAAAACTATAATAACCCTGAAATAAATTAAAATTACAAAAATACTATAATTTTCATCCCAAAATAACATCGCATTGGGCTTACTGCAGAAAAAGCGAACCCAGAAATAAATCATCCAATATTTGTAGGGTACATTAGAGCTTATACATCTATAATTTAACAATATCTTAAGTTATTCCTCTAAAAAAATTGTGTCTCTTAAGCCCCTCTAGCTTTGGTTTATAATAAGAGCATTTAAGTTCAATATTAGAATTAGCGTTCCTTTTCACACGTGAGAAGTATGTGAAAACAAAAACCTTTTCCAACACATAACACATATGATGTATTCATTTATCTGCTTCAATATCATATTTACCTTTTGATAGTGTATTCATTTTGGTATAAGGTTGGCGATGTCAAATGATGCTAGTGCATTTCAAATCTACCACTATAGTCATTGCTGGTCTGAATGATTTATTTGTCATGCTTTTACTTATTTATGATTGATTATCCCACTAATTTGATTTGAGTCGAATTTTCATTTTATTAATCCTTCATAATGTTTTTAATTGGTTTTGCACAATTATTTGTTCAAACGTTGTATTAAATTGAATATAACCAAGTTGGAATGTTTTTAGAAGCCAATTTGCTAATTAAATGAATATAACCAATATGTTTTTGTAATTGTCTCATGGAAAGTTTACTACACAAAGCTCATATGTCTCTAACATGTGAAGGGACGTTAATTCTAGCAGTAAATTTAACATTTTCAGTCTAAACCAAAGCTTAGGGGTCAAAGTAAGATTAAAAAAAGTTTAGGGGCTGAGATGAGAAATCGTTAAACTGCAGGGGTGTAAAGTTACTATTAGTTTTATATTTATCTGTCTATACAATTTTTAAACTTAGAATGCAAATTTACACAATAGTTTATCATTATTTTTTTAGGTTAATAATTTATCATTACTGAATAGTCAAATTGATGAAAGTCAAATTTTATGAGAAGTTATTTGATGAAATCATTGAATTAAAACTTACATTATATCAGAAGATTACAACCCTTAGTATTCAAAATTTAGTACTTATCCAAATGTAAGCACATTATGCAGTTAACAGATAATAAGACGTATAAATAATCTGATATTATGAAAAATTATGCGGCCACAACAAGCCTTCTCAAGATCATAACACGTGATTCATAATTTAAGGTTCTTGATTAATTAAACCAATATGCCTTTAACAAATTACTTTTTTATAGTGGCCCAATTAGTTAATTAATTAACACGTTTAAAAAATATTGTTAATTAAATCTACACATAATAAACGTGTATTATTGTTGTTACTATTTATTTTGTGAGTTTAGGTTTCACAAAGAGGAGTAACGTATTTCTATCTCCAAATCGAGAGAGGGAGATTTCGTCTCAAGTTTTTACAATTAGTTTTAGGGTTTTATAAGAGTTATATTGTAGGAAAAATGATTGAGTAATGTTATAGAGATTCGTTTTGTGTGCCATAATTTTTTTATTTTTAATTTTGCTTTAAAAAATGCGAGCTCCACAAAATGGTATGTGTGTAAGAAACTTTTTTGTGTCATGTGACATGATAGATGCAAATCCCTTAGTTTTAAGGTATTTTCAAGGAAGTAACAACTTTTTAACCCTCACAGTCATAGTATCACTTTATGCTTGTAGAAGTTATACTTGTTTGTTATTGTACAAATTACAATTGACTGTTATCCATTAATAACTTGAATTTCATAAATATAAAGAACGATTGTACAAGTAATCAATCTACACATAAATATAAATTTTCATTTAATAACTGGTATTGATGTTGAAATAGTATTTTTGTATTATTTGATAAAAAAATAATAATTTTACTGCTTACTTCTTGAATGACACATTTTTATGAATTAAATATAAATATGAAAAATAATGCTATGAGTTAATGATGATGTTAAGCTTCTTAATTTTTCAACTTCAATATTTTTTTTGATAATAAAAGGAAATTGGTGAAAATTAAGTATTTTTTAATATGCATTTTAAAGTAAAATTAAAAATCTTTAGAACGGGAGGGAAATATGATGGAAATTTCCTGTCTCGTACTTTATGTTTTTCTTTATATGCCATTGGAGTCATAGCAAATTTGTATACATTTTGAATGATTGATGTTATAAGAATAAAACATTACTTATACTACAAAGCCATGCATCTCATGGGTATGTAATGTTTGACTATTGCTTGCTAGTATTCTCATTGTCTTAAGCCAAATCAGGTTTCTTAGAGAAAAAATCAATTTCATCTAAACTGTGATAAGTTTCCAAAAAAATAATCTAAACTGTGATCAAACCACGACTTAAAATGTCAACTAAATCTTAACACATGAGATGTTGTTAGATATACGTAGTACGTACCTAACTCTTGTTGGTCTTTTGCACCTTCTCCTATACAATAGTGGAAAATTCCTTCCCATTCGTTTTCTTGACTTTGATTTTTGTGCTTAGAAATAAGAATGACTTTCAAATTTTATTTTGTTTATTACTGCCATCAAGATCAACAAATCAGCAAGTGATTAATATAATGTTTGGAGCACAAAAATCTGCTCTGATGTTCATACGGGAGAACAAGATCTGCATCATGGAACATGATTGCCACTTTCAAAAGGTCAAATTCAAACACTTTCAATAACTTTTTTTTTTTTCAAGAAAAATAAAAGGTAAATATTATTTGAAAGTGTGACTATGAGTATAACAAGTAGGCAAAAGTATTTCTGCCAGAAAAACTTTGTCTAACGCAGACACATTATTATTAGGATCCGACGTCGGATTCTAATTTAAAAAAAAAAAACAAAAAAAAAAATCTGTAAGCAAATCCTAATGAATATATATGTCTGGAACAGATAAATCTTTCTGAAAAGTATTCCTCAAAAGTGATTGAGTTAGATAACTGGGAAAGAGTATACAATATCCTGGGGTATAGCCAAATTCTGAGGCAGGTTGTGGTTTGGTAAAATGTCATAGTGATCATAGTTGATGTCAGGAGTGGACTCTGGTTGCATGCTTTGTCATGGATTAAAGGGTTGGTGCACAATTTGCTAATGCTGTTTTGGATAAGGCCCCTATAATTGAAAATGAAATGACAAAATAAACAGGATACTGGCAGAGGAAAGAGTACAAAAAGGGTCCTCCCATAAGGGAATTCTGAAGTGGATATTCTTCAAGGTTCTAACTTTTTCTCCAAGAGACAATTCAAAGAGACAGCACATTCCTTTTCTCGATACCTTGCACTTTAGCATCTTTCGTTTCCCTTATAGGTTAAAGTAAGCGTAACAACACTCAATTGTTATTTAATGGTGACCGAGAAAGAATGAGAGAATGGTATAATTTAATAGTACAATTTTAACATAATGGTTTAAGCAAATGAATTCAACTTTCTTGGATTACAATCAATTTATGGGAATTTTCATCTACTCTGGAAACATATTAATGGTACTTCTCCTCGCATATCTATGTCAAAACTGCATATATACTTCAATTGAATGTAACTAGGGGGCACCTTATCTCTAAGGCCAAGTAAAAAATGTGTTTCCAAATTGTAGTTTTAGTTCAGGTATCAAGTTTCATAACTTTCAATAATGAAATAGGCCTCCAGCACTCATAATGTACAACATAATTTGTATATGCAATAGGGGTTTAACCAAGACCATTAACATGCATGGAGGTAAGCAACTTGAAATCCAGGCCTCAGGGTGAGGACTCAATTAAATGCCCTACAAACTCTTTGTGGTGGGGGTGAGTAGTGGTTTATATGTCTTGGGTGAAACATTATTAGTACTACTGCAGCACTGATAAAATGGCCTATATGTCAATATATGAGTTGAGGTAGTTCCTACTTTACTAGATATGTTATTATGTTTTCTTATGCAAGAATTTATCCTCATACCAGCGGCAATATTGTATTTCAATCAAACTTGAGCTATAAAAATAACTCATAACTTCTCAGAGTTCTGTAAAGGAGATTTATAAGTGAATCCAAAGTCTCTTAACCAGCAACAGGACTAATGACAGTTCCCTAATCAAACGTCATCTGTTCTGCCTCATGTCTAATGGATTCAAACAATGGAGAAGAGAGATAACGCTCTCCAGAACTAGGGAACACCACCTGCAGCAACCAAAATGATGGGGAGATTAATAAGGATTCATCGTACAGATATGATTTCATTTTAATCTATTTTAAACCAGGCTTTGATACCATGTAAAGAATCATTTCAACTCAAAAGTTTAAGCTATTACGTGAGACTACATTAATAGTTTTTATATTTCTGTAACATATCTACTTACGACATGACTATAGACACCCTTATCACTAGATCAATGCACATGAAACTTCAAGTATTTTCCATGGTGTGTGCCATTATAAAAGCTTGCTTTTACAAGTAATATGTATAGATTAGTGACATGACTTGTAGGTGTATCCGTGTATGTTTATTTAATGCTAAACAATATATCATAATTACAGATATGTCAATTCGAAATGTTTTTGAAGTTGTAGATAGGTTAGTAGGCCTACAACGATGAGTTTCCCAGCATTTTCTGGCCTCTTTCCCAATTTTATTGCTGCTGCTGCTGCAGCTCCAGACGAAATCCCTACCTGTAAGAAGGTAAAACAGATTACACAGTCGCAGCAAAAAGAGATAGATTAAGTAATACACATAATGGCCAAGGGAAAAAGAAGTAATAATGAATATTAATAGAGATAGGATATTGTAACAACTAATTAGTATTACCAGTGGCGGATCCAAGCAATTTTATTTATGTTTGCACATTTAGGGATGGAGTTCGATGGCAATGCCCCCGAAAGTTTTTTTTTTTAAATTTTTTTTAAATGTATTAAAAAACAAATGAATATAAACAAAAAATGAAAAGAAAACTTGAACTTACTACAAAAATAAAGTAACTTTTGGGTCTCAACAAAAATTATGGGACCCAATTTAATCAATGTTAGTCATTTTGAGGGACTAATGTAGGTCTTTTTTGAATTTCAGAGGAACCACGATTTCCACTAACCGGGTCTATTTAACTATTTTGGAATTTTAAGGGACCGAGAGTCGACTTTTTTTTCTAAGAGATTAAATTGGGTCCTGTAATTTTAATTTTTGTTAAGGACTCAAAAAAAATATATATATATATATATATATATGAGACAGGATCATTTGACACCAGTGTCAAATTTGACATCTCATTTGAGAGCTGTTAGATCAAAAAAGATCAATGGTGTCACATGCTTACAAATCAGAGTCGTTGATTTTTTTTGATCTAATGGCTCTCAGATAAGGTGTCAAATTTCAAATTTGACACCGGTGTCAAATGATCCTACCTCTATATATATATATATATATATTTCCAAAAATTTGTGTGTGCACTTGCACACACTTGCACCAAAACAGGTCCGCCGATGAATATTACTATCAATGTTACTACCAATCAATTTCACCATTAAATTGATTATGTTGATCCAACGGTTATATTTATTTCCATCTTTGTATGGTTATGATTCCTCGTATTTAATGTGAAAGTATTAAATATGAAAAATTATAACTATACAAAGGTGAAAATAAGTATAAAATATTAAATATGGGGAATCATAACCATATAAAGATGGAAATAAATATAACTGTTGGATCAACATAATCGATCTAACGGTGAAATTGATTGGTAGTAACACTAATTAGTTGTTACAATGTCCTTCCCCATATTAATATTAAAAGAAACGGAATATAACCATAGCCATACCAGCAAACCTTCTTTCAGGGCTAACAGCTTAGCAGTTTCTATAGCTTCCTCACTTGATACCTGAAAAACAATTAAAAAAAAAAGTTAAAAAACCAAGAGCCAAATCCTTCCACAGAAACATACAGCTATCGTCTGAATTTTCACATTGCAAAAATAATCATACAGAAACTACCAGCAAATTATTTGCAGTTTTATGTATCACAAGGATATGTAACCTTCAATTGAACATGTAAATGATGAAATGAAATATGGGAACTACATCTTTAAAACTCATTCACACTTAAAAAAGGGCAAGGAAAATAATAGAGAAGATTTCAGTGATCTGCATTCAGAAGGCTGTATTTAAATACAACAAAGAACCAATACATCTTATATTTACAAAAACAACAAATAGGCACGAAACGATCCCTAATAATGTCTTGATTTTCCAATGCTTCATTAAATCCTATTAATTGTTATTTCCAACAGTGACTATTTAACGATCCTAATACTCCCAATACACCACGAAATACTATTACTATGTCCAACACAATCAGGGCTAACAGTTCAGCATCTCCATAATCAATGTGAGACCTCATAAAAGTCCCCCAAAACTCGTGAAGGGATACCAAACATTCCTAACTTGCAAATGAGGTTCTGGAACTTTTCAGTGAACAGCACTGTTTTTAGCACATCCGCTAATTGAAGATATGAGGGAACAAAGGTAGTAGCACTCAAACCACTATAAAACTTACTTTATGAAATAATGATCAATCTCAATATGCTTGGTTTTGTTATGTTGAACTAGATTGTAGGCAATACAAATAGCAGATTTATTGTCACAAAAAAGTCTTATGGGAACACCGCATTTTACCCTTAAATCATCCAAGACAATCTTCAACAATAGTAATTCACAAATCGCTTTTGCCATGGCTTCAAACTCAGCCTCGAGCCACAATATTTTGTTTCTTACTCCTCCAAGTTACTAAATTCCCACCAAGAAATATAGAGTAACAGAAGGTTGACCTCCCATCTATAATTGACCCAATCTAGTCTTGTATAAGATAGATAAATCAATCTTCCTAATAGTCTCTGATTTCGAGCCTTATCAACAATAGTACTTTCCTCTTCATTCCCCATTTTATGGTTTTTGATCAATGAGAACTCCATTAGCTCTGCACCCTATTTCCATGTTTCTTTTAGTAAATTAAGAACATACTTTCTTTAAGATACAAAGATGCCTTGTCTAGAATAGGCAACTTTAATGCCAAAAAAGCATTCCAGTCATCCCAAATCTTATATTTCAAATTCAGCTGCTAGTCTTCTTCAACATTTCTTTCTCAGTCAAATAATCCGTAGAGATAATAGTATCACCTACGTGCACAAGAAGGACTATTAGTTTGCCTTCTTGTAAGTGTTTAAAGGACAATGTATGATCATCTTGACTTTTTCTATACCCCAATGCAGACATTGCCAAGGGAACCTTCCAAATGATGCCTGGAATGATTGCTTCAACTCATATAAGGCCTTCTTCAAATAACAAACCTTATCCCCTTTACATCAAATTGTTATAACTCCTAGCCTGATCGGATCTCCATGTATTCTAGCATAGAAAGCACTTTTTATATCAAATTGTTATAACTCCTAGCCAAAATGAGTTGCAAGTGACAACAAGATCCTTATATAGGTCATCTTTGCCACTGTACCAAAAATCTTTTAATAATCAACCTTGTATGTCTGGATATATCCTTTTTCCATCAACCTCGCCTTGTACCGGTCCAAGGTACCATCGAACTTGTACTATAGATTATAGACCCATAGACATCCTATTGGCTTCTTTTCTTTGAGCTGATCAACTATGAATCATGTCTAATTTTTCTCCAATGCACTCATCTCGTTCATGGCTTCAATCCAATTCTTATTCTTCACATCTTTTTGTGCAGATTCTGAAATTCCTATAGAATCAATGGCTTCTGTAAAACTAGTGTGTTGTGGAGACAAATTTTCTGAAGAGACAAAATTAGAAATAGGGTATTGATTACATGATCTTCCCTTTTTCTCAATACAACAGACAAATTACCAAGGTTATGTTCATAATCATTCAAAGGAGCAGTTTAAGTGTTAGGATCAGGTATAGAAGTCATGACATTTTCAGCACTTAAAGAAGGATTGAACATTTGAGATTGTTGTTAGGCTCTTTCCTACTCTTGCAGACCAAAATTGGTGATCACGGCAAGTCAGATATTGTTATGTAAGGTGAAGTGAGAGGGACAGGTTCAGATATAGTTGTTGATTGAGTTGCAGTATGAGAAAGAAGAGAGCTGTTCTCAGTTTCAACAAGGTCATCAGTACCAAACTCAGGGGAGGTAGTGTTACTAGAGCAAGCGCCTTCAGCTGCATTAGAAAGTAAAGGCAATTAAAGGGAAAATATCTAAATCTAAGTTCGTGACCCAGTTACGCTAGCCCTTTCTTGGAAGGTGAATAAGCAAGGGAAATACACTATACACCACGTGGATCAAGCTAACTGCAATGATGTTTGTGAATATGAGCAAAAGCAACATGTCCAAAGACACTAGAATTAGGAATCTTCATAATAGGGATGGAAGGGAAAAAAACCATTATTTCATTCGGACATTTATAGTTAAGAACCCCAAAAGGGAGCCTATTTATTTATTAGGCACTCTACCCAGTATGAGTTTGGAACAGACATTTGGAATAATAGGGATCTTGTAACTTCAAAGAAATGTCTAATTTTTCTCTGAGCGACACCATTTTTTAGGGAGTATCAACACACGCAAGTTCATGAACAAGGCCATTTTCTTTAAAGAAACTTGACAGGCTCTGGTTAACATACTTTGTAAAGAACCAATTCAATCAAAAAGCTTAAGCTATTGGGTGAGGCTACATTAATGGTTTTTATATATCTCAACATGCCCCCTCACACGAGAACCCACTGGGTTTGAAGGGTGGACAATGCACAGACCCACCTACCTGTGCGAAGAAAGAAATTCCACTAGAAAGAAAGTGAGTGGCGGTGAGGATCGAACCCGGTACACCGAGGCTCTGATACCATGTAAAGAACCAATTCAACCCAAAAGCTTAAGCTATTGGGTGACACTACATTAATAATTTTTATAGATCTCAAAATACTCCTTAACAATATCTGAATGGATACATTTGAATGAGATTCCAAATTGTGTTTGAAACATGTAATATAAGTTTGCAAATAGTGGGGGAACTTTAGACTTGTCTTTCATTAAAAAAAACCCAAGTGATTCTATATCATATAAAACAAATTCCGTGGACACTGTTAAGAGTGTTAGTGTTAATAGTGTAGAAGTCCCACATTGAGTGTGTCTCTTTGTATTCTTCAATTGGTTTGCTATATAATAGCACCAATGTTGTGTAGTTTAATACAACAAGGATTACTATCATTTCCTCTTGTATCTATGATATTCAACATGGTATCTAGAGCCTAACAAGAGGAATCTTAATCCGTTTAACTTAGTTCTATTTTCCATAATTTCAATATGGTTATAGAGAGATATCACCCTCCTTGAGGGATTCCCGTTGCTATTTCTTTTTCGGGTTTTTCTTAGTATGCTCTGTGACTGCAGCTTAGACTGATCTGTCACATCAGAAAAGAATGATCCTTGGGAAGTTGTTGGGTTGACCACCGTTGTCGTTGACCGACCACCGTTGACCGCGTCGTCCACCGTTGACAGCCGTCTCCGGCGACTTTTCCGATGACTTTCCAGCGACTTTTTTGGCGATCCACCACCGTCTCCGACGACCCACCGCCGTCTCCGGCGACTTTTCCGATTCCGCGAAACTTTGTTTTTCTTTAATCTTCTTTCTTCGCAAGATGGAGTATTTATACTATTCATCATCCATCTTTGAGGGGGAGCACTGTCCAAGTTGCTGATATTGTCTCCGCTGATGTTAATTCCGACACCGAAGTTCCTCTTGAGGGGGAGCACTGTCCATGTTGCTGATGGTCATTCCAGCACATTTGTCTTTGCCGATGATAATTCCGGCACTGTTTAGAAGTTCCTCTTAAGGGAGAGCACTGTCCATGTTGCTGATGGTCATTCCAGCACAATTGTCTTTGCCGATGATAATTCCGGCACTGTTTAGAAGTTCCTCTTGAGGGGGAGCACCGCCCATGTTGCTGATGGTCATTCCAGCACAATTGTCTTTGCCGATGATAATTCCGGCACTGTTTAGAAGTTCCTCTTGAGGGGGAGCACCGTCCATGTTGCTGATGGTCATTCCAGCACAATTGTCTTTGCCGATGATAATTCCGGCACTGTTTAGAAGTTCCTCTTGAGGGGGAGCACCGTCCATGTTGCTGATGGTCATTCCAGCACAATTGTCTTTGCCGATGATAATTCCGGCACTATTTAGAAGTTCCTCTTGAGGGGGAGCACTATTTATCTTCCATGTTGATGTTCATTTCCATTTTTAGCGCATTGTTGATTTTTGGTTTCTCATTTAGGAGATTTATTTTGATGTTATGTTACTTGGTCTTTCTTGTAATAAGCTTGTAGCATAGTCAAGGGGAAACCACGGCTGCTCACCAACTGTTAAATGAAATGTCTGAGAGGGATCTTGATGCTGATGTCCTGGTCAGCTCAGTTGTCTTTGCCGATGATAATTCCGGCACCATCCATGCTCTGATGTCCATTCCAACACTGTCTCTTTATCAGCTCTTCAGACTGATGGTCATTCCAGTTGATTTGTTGTACTTAGTCATTTCATTTCGTTGATGTAGCATTGTTGTTTTTGGTTCCTAATGGGAGTATTATTTATGTATCAAGCTTGTAGCATATGATCTATATGCTACAGCTTGAGGGGGAGTGTTAAGAGTATTAGTGTTAATAGTGTAGAAGTCCCACATTGAGTGTGTCTCTTTGTATTCTTCAATTGGTTTGCTATATAATAGCACCAATGTTGTGTAGTTTAATACAACAAGGATTACTATCATTTCCTCTTGTATCTATGATATTCAAGAGACACTATATTACACGACATTCAACAATATTGTAGTGCTAAAAAAAAACAATATATGTATTTTGAATGTAACCTGAATAATTTCATCAAGCACATTAACATCCAGCACAGAAGGAACAATGCCAGCACCAATTCCCTGAATCAGATGCTTGCCTTTTACATATACGTACAACATGTCCAGTTAGCATATTGCCATTTACATATCAGAGTTTAAAAGTAAAATACTGAGTGAAATATTGCCCAACGAAGTTCAAAAGAAAGGAATGCCAAATGAAATTTACTTATGCAGTTCAAGAAGTTAATAGGGGAATTGGTTTTTAATTGAAAGCAATATAATGTTTGTGTTTGATAGATGCAATGATGCATATATCACATCCCTCTCTATGATTGATACCCTCATTTTTCATAGTCCATTACTAGTTCAATGAAAACAGGCAACTCAGTAAAATTGCACCAGCTGTTTGGTTTTGTTCTAGCATATTAAGATACATACTGGCTTACTATCTGAATAGCATTTGAAAATTGAAATACAGACATAAAAAATCAACCAGAGATTAAAATCTTATAAAGTGACCACCAGGAAGATTTCGATAATTTAAAGAGAAAAAGAGTTGAAAGTACTTTTGGAGAGGTTATAGATGGAGAGAAAATATGACAAGAAAAAGTAAAAAGATAGGTGCAACATTTACAAAGTAACTTACCTGGCTGTCCTCCACTCAAGACAGCACTTTCAACCGGTTCCACTCCATAGACCTTGATGAAAACACACAACATTACCATCAAAGTTAATTACAAGCATTTAAACTCTCTCCCCTCCAGAATCCAACAGGCATGAGTGAAGACAAGAAAGAACCTTGATTTCAGGGTTTCTCTCCTTGAGGAATTTCCCTGCACCTGTTATTGTTCCCCCAGTTCCTATACCTGCTACAAGGGCATCAACTTTCCCTCCAGAATCTCTCCATATCTCAGGGCCAGTGGTTTCATAGTGAATCTACATGGATGCGACAGATTTTTCATCAGACAATCACCTTACTAGAGTAAAATACATCAAGATAAATTACCTTTGGATTTGCAGGATTTTCAAATTGATGAGGCATAAAAGCATCAGGTGTCTCCCTCAATAGTTCCTCAGCCTTTTGAAGACTACCTTTAAAGCCCTTATCAGGATCCGTGAGATGTAGCTCAGCTCCCAAAGCACGAAGTACAATTCTTCTCTCAAGACTCATTGAAGCTGGCATTGCTAGGATTAGCCTATAACCTTTAAGTGCTGCAATGAATGCCAACCCAATTCCAGTGTTTCCGCTAGTAGTCTCAACGAGGACAGTCTTTCAGCAGTTCAATTTAACCAAGTCGACAACCAGGAAAAAAATTTTAAAATCTCATTCAAGAAACCCAACAATTTGAACTCAAGCATGATTGGTTTATAGGGGGGAAAAAGCCATCAAATACTAAATAGATAAATTGTATCACACATGCACAATAAGCAGCGCCTCAAAACAAGTGTTCTATTACCAACCTTCCCTGGTGTAATCAGACCCTTGTCCTCAGCATCCTTGAGCATACTTAATGCTATCCTGCATCCCAAACAAAAGCGAGAATTTCTCTTTTTACATAAAGTCCCAACGTTAAGACAACCAAAATAACAGGGTAGCCAGCCTCTTCAGCAATTCACATAAAACTCCCAGCAAAATCAGATTCAAGACCTAAGGAAAACAAATCACTTCAGTTACATTAATTTCCATTTCACAAAACAAAGAAAAGCAGATTGGTGCTATAAAGCTCCCACATTGCATAGGGTCCAATGAAGGGTCAAATTCATTGTGTGCGTCTTCCGTAGGTAGCCTGACCTTACACTTGAGGCTGATTACATAAATCGAACCTATGACCTTTATGTTATATGTTGACAACACCAAAGTTCCCTTTCTTATATTTCACAATGATAGGGCAAACCCAAATGTAGTGAAAATAGAGGTGAGGGTCGATTTTGCACGGCCTTACTCTTACAATTTTGCAAAGAGACAGTTTTCTAGACTTAAACTCATGACCTTTCAGTCACGAAGAAGCAACTTTACCATTGCTCCAAGACTCACCCTCTTTTATTTCACAATGATATAGCAGCATAATTCTCAAACAACTCAAATATCAGAACACAAACAATGCTTCATTGTTTTTGACAAAGAAAAACAGTAAACTCTTAAATACCTGTCTTTGACGCTTGAGCAGGGTTCCATTGACTCCAACTTGGCAGCAATACGGGCTACACAACCTTCCACAACTTTATTTAGATAAACCATTGGAGTGTTTCCAATTAGCTAAACAAAGTAACAAATAAGGGGAGAGAGTGAGAGACATAAAAAGAAGCATGAGAATTTCGCAACTTACAGAATAATTGATCATAACATAAACCAATATTGTTCAGAATAAGTAATCATATCCAAATGAAGCAAAAAAAAAAAAAAACCATTACTTCAGTGACATCATTTTTTATTGCACACTGCACCTCCATGTTATCTTGGTAGAACCTGAACAACATGCACAAAGAAAGCTCATATAACAATTAAAGGGTGTAATGATGTTAACACTTTATAAGGGTAATGTAACAAAGCAAAAGCATAACAATTCAAGCCAAAAATGGAAGTGATAGCACTCACTGGATTGTGAAAAAGAATCCGTGTGTGTAAAAAAAACGAAAGAAAAACACAGCTATTATGAACAAAAAACTGGTGCGACTTCCGAAGATCTTAACCACAAAGAACAAGATACACTGTAGAAGCTTCGTTTGTTTGATTGTGTCCCCAGTTCACTGTACTCACTACTGAGTTCCACATCGGAACAATCTTGCATTTTTTATTTATTTTTATACTTACCACTTTTAATTTAAGGGAAATAATTATCTCATATTACATCAGATAATTATATCATGCAACGTAGATAAAATAGTGGGGTCCATTATTTCTTTTCTTTTTTTATCTCTGTTGCATGAGATAATTATCATGCAATATGAGATTAATAGATCTCTTAATTTAATTCAAGTGCTTATAATTAATTTTAGTAATATTTTATAAGAGAATATATATTTATTTTAGGATTTTATAAGAGTTATGTTGTAGGAAAAGTGATTGTGTAATGTTATAAGGATTCGTTTTGCGTGCCGTAGTTTTTTTTTCTTCAAAGAATGTGGGTCCCACAAAATATTGTGTCTATGAAACTTTGTTGTGTCATATTAAATGACAAATCCAAACCCCTTTATTTTAAATTCTTAAGCTGTTAAAAAAATTCAAATAAAATAATTTAAGTACACGCTTAATTTTATTGTATTTTAATTTTTGATAACAAGAGAGGGCTAAGTCCAAAATAATAGAAAACAGAAAACAACAAAGCAAAAAAAAAAAAAAAAGGACCAAGAAAAAATTATCTCAAAGTAAATTCTCTACCCCTGCTGTATTAGCATGCACGAGAGCAAAACAAGAGTTGAAGGCGGTTTGAGGAAGTGCCAAATATCATCTAACTCTTAGCCCTGAGGGAATATTTAGTATCGGAGAAATTTTTTATAATCGAAAAAAAAAATATCCTAGAATATGGTAGGAAATTTTTTGGTCTCCGTAAATTACAAAAAGATGTTTGGTAAGTGTTAATTTTTTCGAAAAAATTGGGTTATTTTTACTAATACAATATTTGATTGATGGTGAAATATTCATAGAAATGTATAGTGAAATTACAAAATTACCCATTATGTTCAAATTTTTAATAAGAGCAAGTATATTTTAGCAATCCATTATGTTCAAATACATTTTATTCAGAGCATTTTGGTCTTCAAATCGAAAAGGGGGTCTGTTCATTACTCAGATTAAAAAAAAATCATATTAATCCATTAGGGTTAGCCTAGTGGTGTGGGGTGTGTGTAATGTAGTAGTATGTGTTCAATTCCCATGTAATGCAAAAAAATACCATATTTCAAAGTGCATTTCTTTTTTGCAAAGTAGTACAAAATTATTTTGACAGGCAAAATAATATATTGGCAATTAATAAATTAAACACATACCAAACATTATAACATATTTTTGTGGGGCCCGCTAAATAATAGAAAAAAATTAAATAAAAAAGCATTGCACGGTAAACGATCTGAGTGCAGGAGGAAAGCAAAATTTTCTGCAACATGACTTTTGATTTTCCCTATTTGACCTACACCACTTTTTCAAGATTTTTATCAGATTCCTTAGGTGGTGTTTGGCTTGAGACTTCTTACAACTTTCCTATGCAAATGTGCTGAGGCTTCTTGAAATGTCGTGTTTGGTGAAGGGTGATTTACTCAGAAACTCATTCATCTAATATGCATTGGTTTTTAAATTTTGGAACCGAAAGACAGCTTTATGTACTGTTTGGAAAGCTTTTTCGGAGATGATTTTTTGTTAAAAAGCTGGTAATCTCACTGTTCACTAAATTTTTCACTATATATTACCTCTAACCAAACATACATTTCCTAAAAGTTACTTAATTTTCCTAGTAAAGTTTTTTCCCCCCAAATTACTTTTTTTAACATTTTCCTATTTATCTCCTTTTATCTCACTTTCTTACTATTTCCCTATCAATTTTATTTTCCTAGTATTTCAAAAATTTCTCCTCCACCCAAACGCCAAGTTAATGATCCAAGAGCTAATTAGCCTGCAGAGCAATTTGCTTCCTAACAACTGACAAGGATGCACTAGACGAATCTGCAAGTCACCCTCTTGTTCACTTGATGGGTTAAAAACTTTATTCAGACATAAAGAATAACACACAAAGATACATAAAATTATTAAATGATCTTATTTTTAAAAAATTGAATAAATTTTTTTATTTAAATACTCAAAATATTATAATTAATTAGAGAATAAGTTTTGGAATAACGGTAAAGTTAATCTTTTATAACCAGAATTGGAGTATAGAGAATTTTTTTTTTTTTAATGCAAAGATAAAATTGTTTACCATCGACATTAACCTTTACTTTTATAAAGTGGGAAGTCTTCTCTGCACAGATTTGTCCTACTCAAAATATCATTACTTTATTAATAAGAGTACAATTACAACATAATGGTTGGGGTATATCAATTGAACTACCTTCTCGGCAGTGCACAAGAATTTTCGATTTTGTGAAGATAGAGATCAGAATTGATTGTAGTTATATTTCTGCAAAGAGATTATTTAACTAAGTTGAATATTTTTATTAATAAGAGATCACCTCTTACTTTAATAGATATGTTATCATGGTTTCTTATGCAAGAATTTCCCCTTATACCGGTGGCAATTTGGGTTGTAAATAGACTAGGTTGGCCTATAAGATCTACGACTTAATCTATATTAGGCCAAATTTTGCCTCTTATAAATAGTCAAAGAAGTCTAAACTTTTAAAAAAACTTATTTGAAAAGCAAGCCATATGTTTTTTTATACATATCGGATCTATAAACCTACATGTCGACCAATATCATATTATTTATTTTAAATAAAACAAATAAAATTATTTTAATAATTTTGAATAATAAAGTAATATTATTTTGATTATTTTTTTAATTATTGAGTATTTAATAAACTTAAACAAGCTAACAGATCCAGACCAAGACTTTTATTTTTTAAATATAGGTCAAGTTAGACTTATAATTTGGGTCTCCACATTCTAGCAGACCAGGTTAGGCCTAAAATTTTTTATCACAAATTTGACCTATTTAAGTCAAAATCTAACCTAACCTATTTACACCACCGTGGCATTAGTGTATTTCAAGGCCTCATATCTAATAAACTCATAACTTCTCGGAGTTTTATAAAGAGAATCCAGAGTTTCTCAACCAGCAATAAGACTAGTGACAGTTCCAAAATCAAACATCAATTGTTGTGCCTCATATCTAAAAAACTCAAACAAAGGATAAGAGAGGTAACGTTCTCAAGAACTAGGAAACACAACCTGCAGCAACCAAAATCATGGAGATTAATAGGATTCATCTTACATCATACATATATGACTTCATTTTAATCCGTTTGTCCACATGGCATGACTATAGACACCCTTATCACAAGAACAATGCACATGAAACTTCAAATTTTCTCCATGTTGTGTAATATGTATAGATCTGTGACATAAAGTTGTACGTGTATGTTTATTTAATGCTAAACGATATATCATAATTACAGATATGTCAATCCAGAATGTTTTTGAAGTCGGGACATAGGTGACAGTAAGCTTACAATGATGAGTTTCCCAGTATTTTCTGGCCTCTTTCCTTATAAAAAAACAGATTACAGAATCACAGCATAAAGAGATGGAATAAGTTGAAAAACGTTGAATTCCCACAGTAATACACATAATGGGAAAGAGAAAAAATCGTAATACATGAAGATTTAAGCCATACTAGCAAACCTTCTTTCAGGGCTAACAGCTTAGCAGTTTCCTCACTTGATACCTGAAAAAATTAACAAAAGAAATAAAATCAAGAGCCAAATCCTTGAACAGAAACACACAGCTATCCTCTAAGTTTTTAAACTGCAAAAATAAACATAAAGAAACTGCCACCAAATTATTTGCAGTTCTATGTATCATAAGGGTCTCTAACCTTCATTTGAATATCTAAATGGTGAAACCAAATTTAGGACCTGCGTTTGAATCTAGTTTAGACTTGGAATGGGGCTTGGAAAATAATAGAGAAGTTTTGAGTGGTTTGCTTTCAAATACTATATCCATCAAATAATAAATATATCTATCTTGTAAGAAAAATAAATAGGAATGAACCTATTTCTATCCCCCTCAAGCAGCTGGTGAATGGCTACCAAACATTCCCAACTTGCAAGTGGGGTTCTAAAACTTTTCAATGGGCAACCTTATTTTAAACACATCTGCTAATGCTAATTGAAGATACAAAGGCTATAAATGTAGCAGTAATCAAACCATTGCCTAACTTATAGTTTTTGAAATGATGATCAATCTCAATATGTAGGCAATATTAGTAATAGATTTATTGCCACAAAACAGTCAGTCTCATAGGAACATTGCATTTTATGCTTAAATCATCCAAGACAATCTTCAACTGTAATAATTAACAAATCCCTTGTGCCATGTCCTGAAACTCAGCCTCAGCTCTTGAGCTAGGCATAAGATTTTATGGCTCATACTTCGCGTACTGACGAGGGCCTGAGTGACATGAATATAGTACAGACAAGCTGGACGTAGCCTAAATTGGGTAAACCAGTGTCTATTCTCTCTTTTTCGATTTGTGTGATTGTCAATTTCCAACCATTTCTTACTCCTTCAAGTTACTAAACACCTACCAAAAAACATACAGTAATGGGAGATTCCCTTCATCTATTGTCTCGGATAGAGAACATAAATGTGTTAAAAACTATCTTAGATGTTTTGCAGTTCACGGCCCAAACAACAGTCTAAAATGGCTTCAGTTGGCAAAGTCTTGGTACAACACCAATTTCCATAGGTGTACGCAGATGACAGAAGCAATATACGAGTTCTTGTCCAATAATGCGAGATCCATATTTGGTTCCTTACAGTTTGTTATTTCCAACAGCTACTATAATATAATGATCCTAACACTTCAAATACAACACTAAATACTATTACTATTTTCGACAATCCGCAATAACAGTTCAGAACCTCCATAATCAATATGAGACCTCACTGTTGGAAATTAAGAATAGAGAAAGATGAAAACAGAACAGTACTTCTAATATAATTTAAAAAGATACACCTTGTTATCAAAAAAAAAAAAAAAAAATACACCTTTGTATTTGTTTCTCACACAAAGCAACTTTCTATTTT